GATTTGGTATAGTTTCGTACGTGTGAAGGATGCAGAACTAGATTAGCGAAATATTCTTTTGAACGTTAATTTCTTTTATTATATAACTGAAAAATTTTTAGTTATATAATAAAAGAAATTAACGTTCAAAAAAATATTTCGCTAATCTATAGTTCTGCATCCTTCACACGTACGAAACTATACCAAATCCGATCATTTAGAAAGAATTAATACTTACAGAAATATTCTCCTAGTGAATTTTCACGTCAGCAAAGAATTACTGAATACGTTCGCTACATAGCTACAGATTACAGACAAGTTTTACTAAACACTGGCCTAGTTATAACATATTAAGATAGATCAGATAGATCAATTTATTTGCATTTTCTGATGTTAAATACTGCAATTCAAATTCTGAATTTACACCTAGTAAACAGTTAACATTTGCAAACATCGCATTAAAAAAATTCGTAGAAAGGAGTCCTTACATTTATAGAGTAAAATTTATGTCATACAATGTTCACAATTTATTACATATAGCGGAGAATGTACGACGTTATGGATCATTAGATAGTTTTTCTGCTTTTGCATATAAAAATAAAATGGTAAAATATAGAAAATTTTGCAGAAAACCCAATTTACTTTTGGAACAAATTTCAAATCGAATTTTATTCGAATGAAAGAGAACTAAAGAAAAACAATACGAATCATTATTCAAATCACTCCGAAATTCTACCATATGTATTTAAAAAACATTGGTTCATTTTCGACATATTCATTCATCGAATTTGAATATCAAAGTATTAAAGTAAAAAATACATTTTTTAGTATTGCATTGAGAAATAATTGTTGCATTTTAAATAATTTATCAGTTTGTATGATTGTAAATATTTTAAAGAAAAATGACATCGTTATGTTTGTAAAAAAATTTGTAAATACAAAGAGTACAATTTTTTAAATATTGGGATACGCCTCCGTCAGAAATTGGTTTTTTCAATGTAGCGATCTAGCTGATGAAATATATTTTGTATCTCTTCAGGAAGTAAAATCTAAGTGCTTTTGAATGCCTTTATAACAAATATTGAAACAAATAATAATACTTCCATTTCTTCTAATAACATCAATTACAATGATGACATTCTCTCACAAATTAAAGCAATTTGTTGTATGTACAATGCAATATTTTTTGTAATATTGATAGGTATAAATTACAATTTAAAATTTAAAGATACATTTTTTATCTCTTTATATTATTTTTATGTGTTTATTTTTAATTTATTTATAATATTTCTAATTGATAAAGATCAGCTAATTATTTTTATTATATATTTGATTACCAATAACATTATACACTTGCAATCAAATCATCAAACAGAGAAATTATACTGGATAGCATTACACTTGCTATGAAACCATCAAACAGAAAACTTAAAAATCTGTGAAAATCAAAATACGGAATCTTCAGATGATAATGAAGATGTTAAGAAATATGAGTTAAGCAGAGATAAAGTTTAAAATAAAATAGAAAATGATATAAATGCACTGATTATAAATAAAGTTTTAGTCAAGTCACAACAAATACTGAAAAACAAGGATGGTAAAAATAACTCATCTCCTTTAAATTAAATCGTAATCAATTATTCAAACCATCTATTCGATCTGATGTGCGATATTATAGACCTTCCACTTGAAAATCTAAAAGCTTTAGTTAGTTATTACAACAAATTAACAATTTCAAAACAATATGATGTAATGTCTCATTGTAATGTATTCTACAATGAGTATCGACATTTTCAACTATAACTTATAATGCTCAATATGCTAATAAGAAACTTGCAATTAGCATTTTGTCAATCAGAAACACGCATAGAAAATGAACCTCACACTAGAACTGAAAGTGTGAGAAACACAATATGTTGATAATGAGTATGATTATTTAAACGATAAACGGTAATTAAATATTTTTTATTTGTATTTTATATTGTATTGAATGCTCTTATATAATAATTAATTTTTTTCAGGGCAGAAATCAAACTGAAACCTAATGAACGAAAAAATTCACAAAAGTTGCATTTATTGTATTACGAAATGCAAACAGCTAATCATGAGGAAAATGTTACTAATATTACTGGAAAAAAACATTATCTTAATAATTTTAAGGTCAAAGAAACTTAATATGGACAAACGGTAATATTCTAAAAAAAAGTTGCATTATATAATTTATTATAGTTTAGACATATGTTTTCTTTTAGAACAAGAACAGAAATTAAAGTTCATACTCATCCTGCAATACAATATTTCAACTCAGAAACAAGATATTGGATTTGCCTCACCTGTGACTGAAGATTTTCGGTAAAATTTCTGATATGTTTTTGCAGTGCGTAAATAACCAATGGACTGTATGATGGATTCACGGATTCACATGGTGACGTCGAAATCGAAAACCGAAACGTGAGAGAGATTGCGAGAAAGTGAAATAGAGATAATTAAAGACAAAGAATCCTGCAGACGCTTTATCCGAACGAGAATTTACTTGAGACTGACAAAAGCCGTTTTGGCGATGTGTCGAACCAAGGAATCACCTGTGTATAGAGGTGAAGGTGAGAAGGAGAAACAAAGCCGCGTGTTTACGTCGATGAGACAGCTGATCGGTAGCAAAAAAACAGTCGTGAATATCGACGGTCTCGGTAAACGGCATAAAATAAAATTCGAATATAAAACACAATAAATGTTCAAATTAAATTTCGTGTAACGGCAAGAGTAAGTGAGACCTTAGATATACAATAATGATTTAATAGATTTAATAATTATTATAACTTTAATTAATTAAACATTCATGAATAGTTTCTTTATTAAAACTTGATTCAGCAGATTACTGCATACATTTTTTTATTTTTTCTGTATAGTTCGCGGTTATATGAATGGATTGGCACAAGATTTGCAGACATCAAAGAAATTATACAGAATTCTCTGTGCAATCAAAAAATCAGAAAAAATGTTCAAACCTTTTATTTTCTTCCGTTTACGAGTAAAGAGAAGTTTTATTACTTGATAAGAAAACTTATTACGAAGTTGTAATTAAATATGTAAGTATTAAATAAAAGTAGAGAGAAGAAAATTTTTTATAAATTATTTAATTTCAAATTTTATTTTTTGTAAAAATATATAAGATATACTATCTGTTATATGTTGGAGGAATATAATAAAAATTAGCATTAAATTTGTATATTAAAAATGGAGTTGCAGTCTTCTTTCAATAAAGAGGAAGGAAATAAAGGAGGAAGGAATTAATTCATTTCACCAGAAGAAACTTTGTTCTAGCTGTCATTCAAGATTAACATTTATTCCAATTACATATAAATGACACACACACACGCACAAACACGCACGCACACAAACACACACACACACACGACGCACGCACGCACGCACTGCAGATACTCACACGTATGTATATATGCGTGTATATATTAAATACTATAATATAAATATCTTTTATATTAATATAATTACATATATTAATATAAAAATTTCTTTCATTTTTTCTTGTTGGATATATTATTTATTCTTAGTCTCCTTTTTATTATCTCAAAATAAATATTTTCATGTACCAAGTAGTACACGGAGTTTATGATCGAGGCCATTCGTAACGCTAAACAACGTAAAAGAAATACTATTAATAATAAGGAGACTAACAAAAGAGTAAATATCCAACAAAAAAAAACGGAAGAAATTTTTATGCAGCGTCAAAGAAGCATTTGTGAAGAGAATAATGATATAAAAGTGTTTTACACATAGAAAGAGAGAAAAAAAAGATACATTTTCTATATCATTATGTATATTTTTCGTGAGATAGTTACGTATATATAGAAAAAGGGAGGAAAAGAGGAAATTTAAATTACCAAAGAAAGTTGAAATCTTTATGTTATTTACTCAAAGCTTTATTTGAAAGATTTATTTTATTTTTCTTATATAAACATAAAAGATATTTGTATTAATTGTTATATATGTTGTTTTTAAAACTTTTATTTCTTTTAATTTAGGTATAATTTCAATATATAATTTTAAAACATCAAAAAAATTCTATAATTATAACATATATTATTTCTATATATAATTTTAATATTTGTAATTTTTTTCTTGTGTGGCCTTTTATTTTTTTATTTTTCACGTAATATTAATTATAGCCTGAATGGGGCCGGAACGTAGTACACGGTTCAGGAAGAGTTGAAGAATATATGTATATTTACAATGAAAATAAATTTTTATATAAGAATTATTATTGATATAAGAAATTTTTGCGCGCCAAGCAATCCATGTTGACTCGTAGTTGCATTTTTTTATAAATTTGTATTATAATTAAAATATAATTTTATTACACTAATTGATACCAATAGACACTATATAATCGTGTCTCCTGATATTATAATTAAGTGATTCGACCATTAATTGGGATGTAAAAAAACAAAAAATTACGTGACTATTCCTGACCAACCAGATAAAATTTTACAGTTAATTGATCATTCTTTTCGTCCCGATTAATCGAGTTTTAATCTCTCGATCTTCACATTGCAGATCTTTCTGATAATACCGGCCGTAGGAAGCGCTGCATAGTCGATATCGTTTCAGCCTGCAGACGCATAATTACCTACCTTACCTACTTAAGCGCTCTTCGTTTTATAGGCGTAGCGGATGTGTTGTATGTATGTGTACATACGTGCGTGTGACGCGTATGCGCACGCGCGCACGCGAGTGCCGTGCACCCGTGCACATACCGTACACAACAGTGAGCCCGTGCGGATGCGTCGTTTGTGATACCTCGAAATGTCAGATTCGGTGAAAATTCACGGTAAGCATATACGACTGTCGTTGCGACGCTTCGGGACACGCCCACAATCGCGCGCGTACTTTATGCTCTCGCAGTTACGCTCGTCACATATCCGCGATGAATGCTCGCGTTCTGTTACGTTACTTTTTTTCTCAATCCAAAAAAAGAGAAGAAAAAGTCTCGTGTCGTTTCGGCCACAATTCGGCCCCTTTTCCTCCTCCTCGCCTCTCCTCTCCGTCACCTGATAACGCGAAGGTGTTGCGATTAATTGTCGCGGCGACCCGTAAAACTGTACCACGCCGTGCTTTCTGCATGTTTATGAGACGGGAAATAGGGCTCGAGCCTCTCTCTCTCTTCCTCTTGATTAGCGTGATCTGTCAATTGCGAGGTAGGCGTTAAATACGTGCGTTGCTATACAGTGCGTGGCTCGCGATGAAGCAACGCGAGATGGGTATGTACATTCTCCCCGACGACGGGATGTTTATTTTGCGTGCGCGGATCCGATAAATGGTAAAACGGTGAGATAATCGGATAACGGAACTATCGCGACGTGTTACTTGCGCTGTCTGTCGGAACATTGCGTTGCATTCTCCGCGAGATGTATGTAACACATATATATATATACTATATGTGGAACGTATATTACGAAATATCATATTTCGGATTATTACATACGCAATTTCTATTTTACTCTAGCTCGACGCTTTAATGGATCGCCGCTTGCTGGGTCTTAATTAAAAATTAGCATTTATGATAATGTAATTGTATACTTAAATAGGTGCAATTATATGATAATCCTTATTTATTTTTCATGCAACTGATTTAGGCTAAATCTCTAGTTTTTTTTATAATTTATCTTTATATTTAAAAGTTATCAATATGTTAGCATTTGTATTTCTCTTATATATTTCATGTAAAATATTGAGCAAAAAAATGTGACTTTATTTTGCACACATAATTGTTGTTCGCATAGTTGAACAGTATAATAGATTTTACATATACATTTTATATATTTATAATATATTTTTTATATGTAGATTTTATGATTTTATGTTGGAAATGATTATGGTGTTATATTGGAAATATATTTTAATGCAATTTTTGTGATACAAAGTTGGATATATTGATAGAATGAGAAAAGTGATATTTTCGAAGTTGATAATTATGACTTATTATTTATAGATAGACAAATGTCAAATTGATTGACATTATGCCAGATGTAACACTGTAATCAAAGCTTGCAACCCGGCTAATAACAAGTATTAATAATGTATTTTTATGTTATTTCTTTTTTTATTTGTTTTGAGTTTTTTATAGACATAAATAAAAAGAAAAAAAGAATAGTAAAATATGATTTCTGAAAAATTGTTATTTTAAAAGTTGTTATAATAATTTTTTTATTTTGTCTTTAACAATTAAATCTTAGTATGCATAGATTGTTTTTAAATAATGTTAAAAAATAAACATCGTTTTTTTTACTAGCAAATTAAAATACAATGGAAAATTCAAATTGTGTTTATTTTTTGTGTTTACTTACCATACATATTATTTATATTACATGAGCATTATAATTTTCAGAGGAGTAGAAAGATGCCATGGCTGCCTCGGTTGTATCACGTAATGACGAGGAGGAGTTGAATGGGGAAACAGAGTCAGAGGCCAGTAGTATATACCAAGGCTCGGTAATCTCCACTGTACCTGATCGCCATGGATTCCTGGGCGGTTCGCAATACAGTCCGGAAAGGTAATTCTGCCTTTTTTAGGGGGGGGGGGGGGATATTCAAAAATCAACTATCAGTAGTCTTTCAGACAAAAATTTGAAAGTGTGTACTTTTATGTTTTTGTCAACGCTGAATGGTGTAAAGATAAATTATTTGAAAAAATTTTTTCCACTATTTAAAAAAGACATTGTTTAAATCGGATCGTAAAATCCATACTCTTATATTTGTTGGATATTCCTCACGTAACATGTAGGTAAAACATCAGTTAAAAAATTAAATTTTTGTGACAGTTACAAGATTTTTTTTCAAAAATGAAGTCTTATTTTTTCAATATGCTTATATTTAACACAAAATAAATGTAATTTAATAACAAAAAATAGCTTTAAAATAAATATAAAAAAACTCGGAATAATAAATATTTAGTGATTGTATTTTAATTTTACTAAATTTTTTTTGAAAACTTCCTGCACTATATGTTAGATCTTAATGTAAAGCCCGTTCTCTTTGTAATTGCAGTTTATATTATGTTTCTAGCACGTTTGAACTTCGCTTTCGTTCTCTCTCGATATCTAAACATCCGTTTTTATCCCGCTTTTGCCCAATTTTCGCTGATGACGCACTTACTGTCATTCCAAAATCTGTGAAAGAATTTACTATTATTTTTCTGTATTCTTCATTGTATTCACAAATAGTGTTGTATTCACACTTCTGCGACCGCAGCTTCAACAAAATGTTTCGATGGAAAAATATCTTACGACATTTACGCCAAATCAGTAGATTATTCGTAGACTACAACAAAGGATGCAAAGAAAAAAATATTAGTTCTTAAATTCTTTCACAAATTCTGGAATGACAATAAGTCATCCAGCGAAAATCGGACAAAAGGTGGATAAAAAATGGATGCTTAGAGAGAACGAAAGCGAAGTTCAAACGTGCTAGAAAAATAATATGAACTGCACAGTTACAAAGAGAACAGGCTTTACATCAAGAAGATCTAACATATAGTGCAGAAAGTTTTTGAAAAAAATTTATAGTAAAAGTAAAATACTACAATCACTCAATATTTATCATTCCGAGTTTATTTTGAAGCTATTTTCTGTTACAAATTACATGTGTTTTGTGTTAAATATAAGCATGTATTTTGAGTTAAATATTGAAAAAAAAGATAATTTTATTTAAAAAAAGAAAACCTTATAACAAACCTTATGACAAAAATTTAATTTTTTAACTAATGTTTTACATGCCACGTGAGGGATATCCAGCAAATAAGAGTATGGATTTTACGATCCAATTATTTAAAAAAAAAATATTTTTTCAAAATGGTGGAAAAAATTTTGTAAACAATTTATTTTTACACCATTCAATTCAGCGTTGAAAATAACGTAAAAGTACACACTATCAAATTTTTGTCTGAAAGACTACTGGTAGTTGACTTTTGCGTGAATGCCCCCTTCCCTTAAGCATATGATAACGTTTTAATAAATATTTCAATAAAATTAAATTTTATTTCAATACAATAAATAACCTTACGTGGAATAGGAAACAGGCTATACCACCCGATGTGATACTGCGAAGGGAGAGAAAATGGATACAGATGCTGAACAACTGGAGTCTCTTTATGACCACGAATTATCGTAAGGTCCGCGAGAGATGCCGCAAGGGTATACCACCTTCCGTGAGACTACGCGCCTGGCTGAACCTGTGCGGCGGTCAGCTCCTGATGAACGAGAATCCGAACTTGTACGAGGAGCTGATTAAAAGACCCGGTGATCCCAAGTACATAGAGGACATCAAGAAGGATCTCCATCGTCAGTTCCCGCATCACGAAATGTTCGTCGAGAACGCACCTGGGCAGCAGGAACTGTTTCAAGTCCTCAAAGCATACTCGATTCTGAACAGCAAAGTGGGTTACTGCCAAGCTCAAGCGCCCATTGCCGCGTTTTTGCTGATGCACATGCCAGCAGTTCAGGCGTTCTGGTGTCTCGTTGCGATATGCGACAAGTATCTCATCGGCTACTACAGTCAGGGCATGGAAACATTGCTGCGCGATGGAGACATCCTGTTCGCTCTTCTGAAGAGAGTCTCGCCCGTTGCGTATAAACATCTAGTTAGTTACACACAAATCCTTATGTAAATTTTCAATACAGCTAAGTTTTAGAAAGGCTTTATTTTAAAAAGAATATTGAGCTCCTAGATGATAAATCAAAAAAGGTAATTAAATGCCTTTTGGAACCAACGCAATTCTTGTAGTGTAACAATGTTTGTTTATTATAAATTATAAAAAAAAGAAATGGAAAGAATGCATACGTTTCAACCTTTGAATTGGATCTTCTTCAATACAAACAGATTAACATGGTATTAATTCGCTTTGCTCACAAACTTTACGAGTTCTATTCGCTCCTTCGTGACAGTAAAATTTAAGGGAACTGATGTATTAGTTTTTTAGTAATGTTAAAATTTTTTACAGTTAGCTGTTCATATTAACGTTAACATTTTTCTTCTTTCTTTTTTTTTATAATTTTTTATAATAAATAAACATTGTATTTTACGCTACACCTTTTGGGGGGTTATGTCTACACGAGCTTTCTTAACTTTTAGCCATTTTCCCTATCACGCTGGCTAGTACGGTCTGATAAATGGGGATCAATTGATTTTGTTTGGGTGATATTGGGCACAGGGCAAGATTCTCGGTGATTTGCCTTTCCAAGTGGTGGCGATCAAATAGAAACATATTTTTGTTTTGTTATTGATGTCGGATTTGAATTCGGATCCTCGACACGGAGAGCAGACGCACAACTCTCTATGCCATAATCGCCACATTGATTGATTCGATTTGTTACGCTACAAGAATTGCGTTGGCTCCAAAGGGCATTTAATTACTATTTTTTTATTTTTTAGTTTAAACATATAGAATATAAATTTTAATCGTGAATGCATGAAATTTTTTAAGAGAATTTTTGTGTTTCTCGCAAAATGTAATAAAAGTAACGTCCTTTTAAAATCATTACAGACTGATCATAAATTAGGTAGGAATTTAATTAATCAGATATTTACCATTTTAGAAAAAACAAAAAATGGAACCTATCTTATATATGACGGAATGGTTCTTGTGCGTTTACACGCGAACATTACCGTGGGAAAGTATCTTGCGCATATGGGATATGTTCCTTTGCGAGGGCGTGAAAGTGATCTTTAAAGTAGGCCTAGTACTATTGAAAGGTAGTCTAGGTCGTTCTTCCCTTACCAAACGTTGTCCAACGACATACGAAACCCTCCAAGTTCTGAGAAATCCATCTCAACATATCATGGAGGAGGAGGCCTTGGTTTATCAGGTAAATTTGGTTTATCAAGGGCATTTTTTAATGCAAATATATATTTAATGTTAATATTACAGAATAAATTAAATATTCTTTAATAAAACTAAGCTATAATGTAATTCTATAGTCATTAAATCAAATTAAATGATTATAAAAAATTAGTAAAAATTTATAATTTGATGACTTAATATTTTTCAAAGATTTAGATTTTAAAGTTATTAAAAATTTTAGAGGATAATTTTAGTGTTTCAGATGAATCAGACCATATAAAATATTATACATCTATAAATTATATTAATGTTATTAATTAAATTAATGTTGCAGATTCAGAGGTTGAATTTGAGCGAAGAGGATTTCGAATACGAGCATCAGAGGCAAATATTGAAAAGAAAGGCGGCGGAGAAGGAAACTGCCAATCGAACTGACTGATCATTAAGTAGTTAGACGAAGATGTGGGGCGAAATTATACATTTTAACGTGTAGCGTCCCAAGTGCGTGCCTTCCTTTCCGTTCTTCTGATACTGTACAGATTTCCGCGATTTGTATGTTTCAAATTCTTTCGTATTATAAAATATAGAGGGATATAGCAAAAAGCGGATAGGTATGTACACTCGCAAAATAGAGAAAGTGGTTTTCCATATACTTCGTATACACGCATACATACACATGTCCACATTCCTCGATAACAGTCGGAATGCATTATTTATCTCTACTTCCTTCATTATTATAGTATGTGTACTATAAAAAGAAACGCAACACATTTGCAGATTCACGTAGTATGTATTTAATCATTAATGTTATTCTTAGTTGATTTCTAGTTGATCATCTTCATGGTTAACACTGATATTTATGTACAAAACGTTCATCACATTTTTTAAATAAAAGTATATAGTATATGATAATGTTATATACTAAATAAATATTATCTTTCGTTAATGCCGAATCTTATCTCATATTATAATCCTTTATTGATCGCATGAATCTAACTTTAGATTACATCTTTATACTTTATATTTAAGTGATACTTAAAATAGTATAAGAGTTCCTCTACAATGATATTTATAATACACTTGTTTCATATTAGTATATACACTAAATATCTTTTTTGCAATCAACAGTTGTCAATCAATAATTTTTTTCTTCTATCGCGGTCCAAACATTTTTTACGCAAAATACGGTATACATTCAACAGATATTTTCAATCTCTAATTTAAGAATACTTATGTCTTTACATTATATATTCTCAGCTAGTGGCGCTGACATTCTGCCAGCGATTGCGTCCGTCTATGGCATTCATCACAAAAGTCGTCAGCCGCAGAAAGTCATCGTTGTCGGCTACTCGCGCGTTGAAAAGTTCCAAGTGTGGCAACTTCGGTAGAAACAGCACGCCCATCATAAACAAAAGCGCCATGCTAATGAATGTGCCGATCGCCACGAAGAGTGGATTCATAAGCTGCTTCTGAGTGGTCTCTGCGGTTTCGGTAGCCGCGTACATTGGAACGAGCTGTAAAATGAAACGATGTGAATCACGTTTGTCGGCTATTCTATATTCAATATGAAGATATTCGATATGATAATAGAATTGTATCAGAATGGATCTTATAAGATTACGAAGATTATTCTATAGATCATATGTGATAAATTAAAATCTTTTCAATCAATATCGGAGATTTATATACACATTTAACCCGGGAGGATTTAACCTGGGATGATTTTTACATCTCAACAGCGAAAAAATAAAACTCAATTACAATAATTTTCGAGAATTCATACTTATTTTTTTCTATTTCACCTTACTTTTTAAAGAAAATTAAGTAAATCTATAAGCATAAATAATTTCAAATATTAATAAATTGTAGAACAATCAATAATGTGCAATATGTAATTAGTGACCCTTTTTAAAAGTCTTTATGATCGTTTACGCAATAACAACTAGGGGACTAAATTCCCGGGTAATGAAACTGAAATATAAGTACAAATGTGATGCAGGACATTCTGAAGTTTACATCTATGTTACAGTACAAATTTTTTAAATTTATCTTTACAATTTTTTTGCGCGCTACATGTAGTCCAAATTAGGGCTGTTATTTTTTACTTCGAATATTCGAAGCTTCGAAATTAACTTCGACTTTTTGAAGTTTAAGGTGCCTTCGAAGCTTCGAAGCTTTAATGTTTAAAATTAATTTCGAAGTTTCGAAAAGTACATTCGTGTAAATTTAATTAAAAAATTAATGATTTTTATTAACTTTACGGTTTTAAATTTTCTGTTTTTAAGATTGTTTTATGCTGAAGAAGATTTAATGATGCCAAAACAATTATATTAATTTATTATATTTTTATTCATTTATTTAAGAATAAATTTATTTTTATTTTTTTGAATTTTCTTAATTTGATTGTTTCATTGATCATTATCTTTTTTCATTTACATATATGCATCAAGTTTAATTATTCAATTGTAATAATTTCAGGTTATAATACTTTCAAATTTTTTAGGAATAATTACGTACATATATTTTGAGCATATATATCAATTCTTTTTATTTACAATATTTGTAAATTTTCTGAATAAATTCATTTGCACGAATGTATTTTTCGAAACTTCGAAGCTTCGAGAGAATTCGCAAAATTTTAATGCCAAAGTTCGAATGTCGAAGCTTTCGAAGCAAAGCACCAGCTCTAGTCCAAATATCTATACGGACATTCGCACATATAAAAAAAAAATAATCCAAGATGCAATGTCTCGTGTTGCACAAGCTCGCACAATTAAGTTGATGTTATGAGCGTTTTGCCATAAAATCATGGTGACACCAATGCGCGTAAAATCATTAGCAATCACACTAATATACATAAAATCTGGTTACACCGGATCGAACCGGGAAAATTCCGCGGGTCGCGCCTAACGGATGGCGCAACGGATCCGTGACTTTCGCTTACCGCGGCCTGCTGATGATCCCTCTGCAGCTCGGACGCGAAACTTTTCAGCGGGAAGAAGTAGTAGTTGTACATCGGTTTAACCGGTAGCTGCGGATGATCGACCTGGGGCGATGCGTTGCCATTGCCATTGCCGTTGCCGCCCGCGGCATTGAGAGCTTGCGTCAACGTCGTCATGCTGATCGCTGACCCTTTTTCCAAGGCCTTTTTGTATAACGCGGCCAGCTCCGCTCGCGTGAACGCCAGCGGCTCCGGCTGCTTCACCTTCGGGTAACTGGCCGCGGCGGTGGAGTCGCGTATCTGGAAAATTCCCGAGCATCAGTTAAGTGTAGCAATCAAATTGAGAAAAAATAGAAAAGACAATAATGAACAATTATCAAGGTTCCAAATTAAGAAAAAGAATTAAAATTGAGAAGCTGACTTTTTTGAAAAATTAAATATGAAGAAATAAAAACGTTAAAAAATTATCAAATTTCCAGACTAAAGATTAACAATAAAATTGTGAAAAAGATAAAAATTGAAGAAATTGATTCATTTTGAAAAATTAAAATGTAAGGAAAAAGTTAAAAAGGATCAGATAATTATAAATATAATTATCATGTTTTCAGATTACTAAAGATCACTAATTAAACTGAGGAAAAATTAAAATTGAAATTGATTTTTGAAAAATTAAAATAAATAAAAAGAGACGTGAAAAAAAGCAAAGAATTATCAAGTTTTTGGATAATAACACTGTACGATAAAATTTTATCTTTTTTCGAATCGCCAGTGTAAATAGTTATTTTCAAAGTATTTTTACCTGCTAAACACGAATCCGTTGGCAAAAGTTAGCTATCACAATATTCAAAAAAATGACGTCATAGAAGCCAAAAATAATGATTTTAAGGGTTTTTGAAACGTTGCAGCACCAACAGTTAATTTTTTTGCTTAATTTTATTAATACCACATAAAAGAATCAACTTTTAGCTTTAAAATGCATTTTGGTTCGTTATGATATGATTTCTTATTTCCAAAATATAGCGAATTGAACATGTTTGTAGTTTCGTTTAAGATATACGTACCTTGTTTTTTTCATGTAATATTATTCGACAAAATTTAATTTTTTCTTTCATCATGAGTGCGAATAGTCATTTCCGACGTATTTTCTGCTAAACACAAATTCGTTGGCAAAAGTTAACTCACAATTATCAGAAAAATAAAATCATCGTTTTCCACCTCTTTGATGCATTTTTCTCAAAATTGTGACGTGATAGCCAACTTTTGCCAACGAATTCGTGTTCAGCAGATGAAAATACGTCGGAAATGATTATTTGTACTCATGATGAAAGAAAAAATTAAATTTTGCCGAATAATATTATATGAGAAAAACAAAATGTTCAACTAGCTATCTTGGAAACAAGAAATCATATCGTAACGAATCAAAATGCATTTTAAAGCTATAAAAGTTGATTCTTTTATGGTATTAATGAAATTAAGCAAAAAAATTAGCTGCTAGTACTACAACGTTTTAAAAATTGTCGTTTTTGGCCTCTTTCAAATCATTTTTTTTATTGTGATGTGATAGTTAACATTTACCAATCGATTCGTATTGAGCAGGCAAAAATACGTCGGAAATGACTATTCACACTCGTGATGCAAAATCGTGTCGCATAGTGCAATCAAAGGTTAATAATAAAACTGAGAAAAATATCGAAATTTTAAAAAATTAAAATGAATGGAAAAAGATACAAAAGACAATTATAAACAACGAGTTTTCAGATTATTAAAAATCAACGATGCTGAGGAAGAAATTGAAATTGAAGAAATCAATTTTTGAAGAATTAAAATAAATAGAAAAAGATAGAAATAGAAAAACGGTAAAAAAAATCACATTTTCAGATTACCAAAAGTTAACAATTAAACAGAAGAAGAGATTGGAATTGGAAAAGTTTACTTGAAAAATTAAAATAAATGACAAAAGGACAGAAAGAAACGGGAAAGAACTATCACGTTTTCAATCTATTAAAAATTTCAATGCATAATTTCACAAGATAAATCGCAAATTTCTTCCATTTTATTCTTTTTTTTTTACCTTTTCGTTAATTAGTTTCGTTTAAGGTATACGTACCGCGTAATATTGCGCTATACTATTCGCGGCGGAGTGAGCCATGTCCACGTGCTCGACAGGCACACCCGCAATCTGTTTTTGCAGGATGTCTTGATGGACATTGTTGGTGCTGACCTTGCGATACCTATTGTGATCATGATAGCCCCCCTGCCGATAGCCTAGGTTCATTGATGACAATCGGTCGTACATCGTCAGGCTGTTAGACGGCAAATTTAATTCCTGGAGCTCGATCATCGCCTTCTGGAGATACTCGCCGCTCGACTCGGCGCCGCACGATCGTGCGTTGACAATAATCAACGATATTAACACGGTGAGCCGTGCGGCTCGCGATGGCTTTGATCTCCGTGATAAATTCATATCGAATCGCTTTTATGGAGTCTGTGCATCTGTCGAAGAAAAGAATCGTCTGATTTAATAATAAATCGTTAATACGATTCTCTCTTTATCATTTATTTGACTTTACTTCACTTTATCGTATTTCTTGTACACATGCACACTTACAATAAAGCACTTGAAATGTATAAATTTGTATTGTACATTTTTTCATATTTAACGTTTAAAAATGATAATAAAATTGTCCAAAATATTTTATTTAATAAAATTTCTGTTAACGTTACTTCTCGTTTTCTTAATTTTTTCAAATTTCAACGGAAAGTGCTCTAGTATGCGTATATAATGTTCATACATTATATTCAAATGTTCTTATGAGTAATTTCAATTAAGTAATTAGAAATTAACTGATAATTGATTATTTAATTTCAATTAGAAGTATTGTGCATTGCATAAAAAGAGGATTTCTTACGTATTTATCACAAAATCTTCTAATCTCTGCGATATCGATAATGCAGCCGAAACACATTTTCACTTCCGGGCGTCACTCGTCCTTTATAAATTACGTATATATTTCGCAAAATATAAAAAAAAACAATATCTTTCAATATTGCATATCATCTCCTCGATTTCTGAACGACGACAGAGAGATCAAAAGAAAACCGGATGTGATGTAGGAAATCAGACGATCGCACGAGTCACGGCATTACGTGATGAACGACGAAAGTGTTACATCATTTTAAAATTAATATCGCTTTTAATTAAGAGCTAACATTCAAAGACACGCATGCAGGAGGATTAGGTTTCTCTCTTCTCTCTAAAAGTGAATCAGTGGAATCATCACTGATTTTCAGTATATATTATTTTCCAGTGGCATTACTTTCCAGCAAACACCAAATATAATTGACAAGGGGGGCCAGGTCAGTGCACCATGGATTCTGATCCCAATTTTTTTGGTAAAACTAGAGGCAAAATAAAGATATAGTATCCGAGCGTTTGATTGAATGGGCCTTAGTTTTCGAGTAAGATTTTCGAAAAATAAATATTTAAATAATAATATTCAATATTTAATAATAAAAAGCGATATATTTCTTTCATTCATTATCGGTTATAATAATGCTTGGGAAAAAATACAAATTTTTATGTAAAAAAGTCGTACGTACATAAAATGTATATTTACGTATATGTTATATAGCAGATACACAGTGATAAACAGTGATTATTTCAATGTTGTTTCATTGATAATATACTGATTTAAACAGTGAATATCACTGGAAAATAGTAAATTTCAATTCTCAAAACTGTTTGACAGTGAAACTCACTATCTTTTAGTGATATTCACTGTTTGAATCAATATATTATCACTGAAACAACATTGAAATAATCACTGCTTACCACAGTTCAAAGTATATGCCACTGGAAAATAATATACACTAAAAATCAGTGATGATTCCACTGATTCACTTTTAGAGAGAAGAGAGAGAAAGAGAGAATGAGCGGCACGGAATCAATTTACAATTTATTTACACAAAAGGAAAAGAGATTATCCGTCGCGCGCCGCTCCGGCACGCGAGTATGCGCGTGCAGCCACCCGCGATAATCAAAGGGTCAAATAAATCGACCCGGGTGTATCGCGTATCGCAGCTCGAAATCGCACGCACGGTACCCGGATGCCTCTCCTCTTCGCGCGCGGTCGGCCGGACGCACGTCGCAGCCGGAAAACTCGCGTGCCCGATCGAGGTGGATCGTCGCGCTCGTTCGCGAAGGTACTATCGCGAACGCACTGAATTAACTTCCTTCACCGGTACATATTCCCCCCCATATGCGTGTTCATTCGAATCAACGGACAGACACTGGCTACTAAAACATATAATTCAGTCGGAATAAATAAAACCACACGATCAAATACAAAAAATAATTGGTCCAGCAGACTGTAAAATTTAATTCGAAACCAAGGTTTAAGGCTCTTATTGACCTCGAATCGAATTTTATATAATATTTGGTCTTAAAAATTCTATTATGTATTTTTCAAATTGTAAAAAATTGATTTAACAATTTTTTATAAGTTTATTCCTCAGAATCATGAATTTTCTTTTATCACCAAATTCAGGAATTTATTAAAAAATTTTTAATTTCTAAATAATTTTTCGAGAAATTAACATTATCTAGCTATTATATATTTGAATTATTCTGCGAGGGAAAATTAGATTTATACCTTTTGCATGTAAGTGTGTAATTAATTTTAATATATAATTTAATATTCTTTTAGAATTAAGGTACGTTAAAACTTTTTGTTTAACATCGACCATTTAAGTTTCTTTACTTTATAGACAAGAAATCATTTAGGAAGAAGAAATAATTTTTAACTATTGGTAAAAGACAATGTGATTAACATATTAAAAATAAAGGAGAAATGGATAAGAAAATTTCAGACGTTTGATCAATTAATTTTTTATCTTGAAGAACAACATCAGTATGATTTTGTAAATTAAGTTCTTCTTAACTTTTTCTATTTATTGTGTCTCACGAGAGATATTGTTTATTTTATAAAAAACTTCTAATCCTTTTATTTCAGTAAATATTCGTTTACCAGGATTGAAGATCGAGTTTTGTGCCAATCGATTGTGCCAAAAGTTGTGCACAATCGAATCTCTTGAAAGGAGCCTATTCCTGCTGCCAATGTAAGACTCTGTAACGACAGTCCCTTCGATAAAAGTGACCCACTTTACAAATTTATATATATATGGTATTTTATTCCGATGTCGTGAAACCAGTATTTTATTCGGCTTGGCGTGCGTATACGGGTAACGGATAACGGATGTACCCAAAACCCTCAGGACCTGAATCGTATGATCCGTGACGGTTCGCATTCGACGGTCGTCGCCGTTTGATGCAGAGCGCATAATCGCTGACGAACTTTTGGATAAGATCTATGTTTGCGTACGTGGGGATCTATTCAAGACGACGCGGCGCGGCGGTGGTCGTCGGCTTAAGACATTTACAGCCTTGACTTGATGTGCCCCTAATTTCTGCCGCGAGAGAAGCATCGTGCCGATTACCGCCTCATAAAGTATCATTTTCCGACGGTTATATCTCTCATAAAGTTAAATTTTAAAAGGAAGTTTGAAAGAGGTTTACCATAAGACGCTCATTTCAGGCTTCCTTTGTAAGAAATAAAGATCTTTACCTCTAAGGATGAAATCAATAGATAAAGTAAGACAAGATTTTTTGTGGTAAACTGAAACACACAGAAAGAGAATAAGAAAGAATATTTTGTTCTCTAGATCTTTTAAAATTATTTAAGATTTCTAAAGATCTTTTTTTAAGATCTTATCTGGCTGGTGAATATTTTAAAATTTAAATTCAAAATTGAATTTGTCATTCAAATAAAAATTGACATATGTTATGTTACTGAAATAAATAATAATTTTCAAACTTTTGCTTCAAGAGTACTCCAAACTTCAGCAAAATAAATAATTCGCGTGTTTCCAGTTCGTTGCAGCAGAAATCACTTGCAGATGTGAGTGTCCTAGACGCTCTAATTATACTGCAGTGACATAAGGAATGTCACTTGTAACTTGTAATTAAGATTAAGAAGAAGGAAGTTTTAATTTCCGAGAACGTCCTATAACCAATTCCGTTCCAACGCGAGCAGACGAATTTACTTTCGGAATTCCGAATGTATGTCGGCAACCTGATTTGCCCTACGAATCTTCAACGGCCGTGTCGGGCAAAAATATTTCAGTTGCACTTCGTTACACCGGATAAGAGGAACCACGACAAAGTCTGTGTAGCTACTGTGTAACAGCCAGCGAGTCGACGTACATGTAATTTGAATTCAATCTCTATATATATAATGCTATAAATAGAAAGAGAAGTTTGGAAAAAAAAGAATTTGACACATTTTAATCGTTCTGGATAAATACGGGGTTATTCTATCGTGTATTGCGTTTAAACGCAATCAATTGTGAAATCTAAATTCAATATAATTGTAACAGTTTTAATATTTGCCGCAATTTATTTACCGTAAAAGAAGAATGGAAGAAGCGCTAACAAAATAATGAAACGGAATTCACGGTGCGGAATCGCGGTTCGTCGATCGACCGATACAAGCCGTTAAGTGACAGATGCCCGTTGATTATCCGTTATTATTATTATAGGAAAGGACCTTCCGTCTTCGTGAACTAGAAATCCTGATACACTCGACGAACACGATATATACGCCTCCTGATTCTTTCCATAAGCTATTACGGAAAGAATCAAAAGATATATTTACGTCGGAACGGTTGCAAAATTAAGTTAATTAAAAGTTAATTAATATAAAATAAGAAAATATTTTATATATACATATAATCAAATATTTAATCTTTGAAATTATGAATCAGTTCAAATTTTAACTTTAAAATCACAATATTAAAAGAGAGCTGATGAGCCAAATATAATTTTAATTTCAACTTTAATCTTTGGATTTATAGCACTATTCCTTTCTTAATGCACTTACTAAATTCATAAATAAATTCTTGTCACCCATACAATACTTGATTTTCTATATTTCTTTATATTATTCTTTATTACTTTTTTATACTTTTTGTATTTTATTCTTTTTTAACATTTTTTTCAGATTAGACACAATTTCTTTTTAATTATTCATATTTCTTTAAATAAATCTAAATTTATTTTTTCGATCAAATATTCTGACAAACTTCTAAAAAAATTAATTTAAAACAATATTAGAAAATTGTGAAATATGTGAATTCAATTACAATTACATTAATTTTAATATTTATGCTGCAATTTATTTACCATAAAAGGAAAGAAAAAAATAATATAAATAATTACGCGCCATTGCATTATTCGATCATCATTGAAAGTATATATATATAGAAAGTATATATATAGAAAGTATATATATTAGAATATTAATGTAAATTTTAATGTTCCTCAGCTTAATGGTAATTTTTCTCAAATTTATCTTGAAAGTGTCGTGCAGATAATCGATTCGCCTAAATAAAGTGCACTTGCACATGCAGTGCTTTATTGCAAGCAATGAACCGTTGCTTAATTATTAGTAATGATGTGTGTGACCGTTAGGGTCATCTGTCGATGTTCTGCTAGAATAAAGCATTGCACTTTGTAAGTGACACGTTTTCCGGTAGGAAATCACATATACAGGATGAGGATGACCTAACTTGATCATCACAAAAATCTTGTAAATTATACGAATTGTACGAGAAATTGTTATATACATGTTGTTTGAGGGGGTCATCACATAATTGTTTTGTAAGTGAAAGCGTTTAAAAATTTCAAGGTCAACTTTGTTTCTTTAAATGAAATTATATTATTATTTTGACATAAAATGTATACTATTTCGCAAACTGCTAATCTTTTGATAAATATACCTTAATATTTTTGTGCACAAAACAATAAGATAAATCAATTAGTATATAGAAAACACAATTTTTTTAAATAATTATGTAATTAGTTGTGCAATATGCAACTACAATATATTATCAATACGCAATTATTAATTTTTAAGAGCAACTGTATATTTTCTTTACACCAATTGATTTATCTCATTTT